CCTGCAAACGCTCCTCAGCCACAGACGCAGGGGAAGGGAGGAGGATTAACAGCATCTTCATCAAGAGCAGTGAACACAACCACACTCAGTTCCTCCGGCCACCCCTTCCTGCTGCCCACGTCCCCCATGGAGCTCCCTCAGCAGGGCCTTCCTCCACCCCATCCTCACCAGAGGTCCCATCGCCCACCCTCTGTGAACACAAACGGGAGGAACAGCCCCACTGCCCACCCCACAGCCCAAAAAGCAGGAGGATGGGGGGAGAGATGCAACTTTCCAGGTGCTCCATAACCCAACAGAGCAAGGAGCATCACAGGCTCCTTACCATAAAAGACCTGCAGAGCTCTTCCTGTCGATGACAGCAAATCTCCTGCCGTTACTGCATTTACAGACATAGAAACTATATCCAGTAGGAAAGAGGAAATTTCTTCAAGTACTCTCAAGTGATCTCCAGTGAAATGACACGGGTGTGCCTGTGACACGGAGACCAGAGCCAAATCCAGGGCTGGTGTGGGATGCCCCAGTGGCAAAGATGCCTGAAGTGCCCTTACCTGGAGGTGGGTACCAGCCAGCTCTGGCTCTCACAGACAGATTCACTGTGCACTGCGGGGCTTCCCAGCAAAGCAGCATCATTTCAGCAGCACCAGGCACTCTCCAAACCCAAATATTCCCTGGAGAGAGGTGCAAGATGTATTAATTTTAAGTTGGCGTAATCATGGGAGCTGGACTGCCCACAGCCATCCTCCCCACATCAGCTCCCGAGGTACCACAGGCTCCTTTGATCCTCTCATAGCCCTGAAGCACAGGGTGACCTATTTCATCCCCACTGTTGGCAACTGAGCTGGAAGAGACTTGAGGAGCCCTTGCAGCATTGAGTCCCCTTCTCCTGGTGCTGGACCTGAACAGGTCCAGGATGGCAAACCAGGCTCATCCAGAGATGGAGCAGGGCACCACGGTGCCTTCATCCCCCCACACCAGCTCTGCTCTCCGCTGCCTTCTTCAGCGCTGCCCTCGGACGAACAAATTCTACCAGGGCCTAAAACAGAAATGGGTGAGCACAAATCCCACCAAGATCGGCCTCGCGCTCGCAGAGACGACGTCTGTGAGCGTGGAGAGGATTAAACTGTGACAAAAAGGAAGACAAAAAGCTGAGTGATGGAGCACAGCCCTGACTCCTGCAGCGAGCTGCATTCAGAGCCCGCTCGGATGGAAAACGCAGCAGCTCAGTGGTTGCATCCCAGATGTGGAGCAGTTCAAAGGGAACAAAGCTGCTTGCTCCGGAGCAGGCAAGACCTCAGCTTGGCTCCCGCTCCCAAAGCCAGGTTACAAGAAGCTCAAGGAAAATGCTCTCAGAGGGAGCCTCGCCAAAATTAAACTGAGAGTAGAGATGGGGCTTTGAAGCTACTACGTGTTTGTTCATTTTATTCCAGAGAAATCAGCGGGATGCTCTCGTTACCACAGAGCGAGCATTAGTCACGGCACAAGACGACTCCTGCAGTGCAGGGGGTGTCACAGGGCTTCCACTTTGGTTGTTTTTGGGGGTTTTTTTTAAAAAAAACCCAACTGTTTGCTGTCAGGTAACCTGTCAAACACAGCTATGAGCAGATCTGTGACACACATTGCCTCATTTCTCCCCCATCTTCATATTTAAGCACCTTTGACTCAGCTGTTTCACACACTGCTTGCACGCTAATTGAAATGCAGAGGTTTCTCAGGACTGACACCACCTTGTGCAGCACCCAAAATAGGCAATGCTAACGGCAGCAAGTCAGATCAGAGCTGACTGTGGTGGGGATCAAGGAGCAGAGCATCAGAGTGTCCAGAACCAGATACCTTGTCCATGCCCAGGAGTCTCCAGTACCAAGAGGTTACTCATCCATTGATGAGTTTACTCCAGAAACAACAAAGAGGAGAATTACAACTACATGAATACACATCAAAGTAGGAACCAGTTTCTATATGCACTAGAATGAGAATTTTTGAGCTGGTCAGAGATTCAAGGGCAGTTGGGAGTGCGATGTGGCTGGGGGGAAGGCAAGATCTGGCTCTGGTGGCTGGAGAGTGACAGCACTCACCACGTTCTGCTCCAATGCGATGTCCCAGCAGCCGTCTGCAGGGATTTAAACGATGGTATAATCCCAGAATCCCAGACCGTTAGGGATTGGAAGGGACCTCCAAAGCTCATCCAGTCCAATCCCCCTGCCGGAGCAGGAACACCCAGATGAGGTTACACAGGAAGGCGTCCAGGCGGGTTTTGAATGTCTGCAGAGAAGGAGACTCCACAACCTCTCTGGGCAGCCTGGGCCAGGGCTCTGTCACCCTCACTGAGAAGAAGTTTCTTCTCCAATTTCAGTGGAACCTCCTGTGTTCCAGTTTGTGTCCGTTACCCCTTGTCCTATCATTGTTTGTCACCGAGAAGAGCCTGGCTCCATCCTCGTGACACTCACCCTTTAAATATTTATAACCATGAATGAGGTCTCCCCTCAGTCTCCTCTTCTGCAAACTAAAGAGCCCCAGCTCCCTCAGCCGCTCCTCAGAAGGGAGATGCTCCACTCCCTCCATCATCTTTGTAGCCCTACGCTGGACTCTCTCCAGCAGTTCCTGTCCTTCTTGAACTGAGGGGCCCAGAACTGGACACAATATTCCAGATGGGGTCTCACCAGGGCAGAGTAGAGGGGCAGGAGAACCTGCTCCCAGGCGACTGGTTCTGCTGGTTAAATCAAAGCATCGAATGCCATCATCTCCGTTCACCTGCAGCAAAAGAGATCTCAAATACCGCATTTGGCAGAACAGGCCATAGCTCAGCTGCGTCCCCCCAGCACCACAGCCCACCCTGGAGGTGGGAAAAGTAAAACATTCGCTGCTGTCCACCTCGGGAGCGCCTTCAAACTGGAAACAACCCAGTCAAGCACCCCACTTCTGGCCTTGCTTTCGTAACAGCGCGTCTCTGCTGCAGCAAATGCGTTTGCAGGAGCAGCGCTCTCGTGAGTCAGCGCAGCTGTGGGTGGGAAGCCCTCGTATGCTCCAAGCTCATTAAAAGCAAGAAAAGCAAGGGAATGGGCCCCAGCGTGGTCCAGGATGCAGCACTGAGCAAGTCCAAGAAGTCTGAAGATGGCAGCACGCAAGTAAAACTTACCAGGGTTTAGGCTGGGGAAAACAGCTTTTGGGGAAGGGAGAAGGGCACGAGGACAAGACGAGCACCTCAGAATCCCAACCTAAACATGCAGCCGTAATGTAGCTGTACTATTTTAGAATATTGTATTCCTCAAATGTCAAACAACGAAGAAAACACCCAACACAAACCCAAACCCAACACCACACCTCTGGCCCAGCAAATGAGTTTGCAGACAGCACACACCCTGCGGGGCAGAGCTCTCGTGACTCTGTAGGTGACTGACCCTGCGGTGTGTGGGTGTAGGGTCCCCAAGGAGCTTGGATGGCAAGGTGAGAAATGAGACGTGTCCTGTATCTGCAGAAAGGGTCACCACGAACGCAGACACAGCTCGCAAAAGCCTCCCGACAAAAGAGGGGTCCAGATAAGCCCCAACATCCAAGACGTGCAGGCATAAGCAAAGCACTACGTTGTTATCTAGGAAGCAAAGGTTGTAAGCTCCTTTCATCACTGCCCGGTCCACCCCATCCCTCCGGGGACAGAGTTTACGTGAACACCATGCACAGTCCGAGCGCAGCATTAACCACACGTTGTATTTCTGGGCATTTGGCTCCGCGCAAACCCAGCAGGAGGTGGCCTGCAGCTCCCAGGGACTAAAACCAGTGACGGAGGGGAGCAGTGAAGGGAAGCCCGTGTCCTTTTGCTCCTTCTGTTCCTCTGAAATCCCAACTGTCACTTCTAAGAACCGTTTCCTTTTCCTGGTATCACAGAAATCTCCTTCCCTACATCTCCAGTCCAAGCCCATGTCAAGTATTTCTAAAGCCAGGTGTTCTTGCAGTACAGAAAGTCACACACAGTACAAAAACGGTTGCTTATGCTTGCAACTGCTTTAAAAAAATACTCCCATGAGAAAGGGAAAGTGTGGCCAATAAATCAGGTGTTAGTAGGCAATTTCTACTAAAAAAGACACCAGTCAAATTATAAATACTAAACATTTATTATTTTTCCCATAGGAAGGCTGCAAGGTTCCATTTCAAACAACATGGCAAGGTCTTTTGTCGCTGTTGGGAGTTTGTTTAAGGGAAAAGAAAGAAGAATGAGAAACTGCTGGAAAGGCACTACCAGAAGCAGTGCAAATTGGGACTGATGTCTTACCTGCACCATTCCAGAGCTGAACAGCCAAGCCAACCCTTCCCAGCCAAATGAACTCTGCTTTGACATCGCCCAGATTCCTGTATGGCCCTGAACAAGAACCACGTTCCCCTTTCCCTA